GAACCACTAGGAGATAATACATTAAGAGATTTATTGCAGGGAATTGGTCAGTGTGATTGTGGGGCTGGCTAGGCAGGTGAGAAATCTTCAGGGCAGCCTGGAACTCCAACACATGGAGTGAAGCCCTGTCTACAGGTGGACTTTCTTCAGGAAGCTCCAGCTCTGCCCCAAGGCCTTTTAACTGATTGAATCAAGCCCACCCAGATTATCTAGGATAATCTCTATTCCTTAAAATCAGCTGGTTATGGCATTTAATCACATCAACAAAATACTTTCACTACATCACCTAGACTGGTGTTTGATTGAATAACTGAGAACTGTAGCCCAGCTCAGTTGATACAAGAAACTGACCTTCATTCTCAGAGAAGCCTCTCTGACCACTGAGTCAGAAATAGGTCGCTCTTATATGTATATATATAACTGAATCACTTTGCTATACACCTGAAACTAGCAAAACATTGTAAATCAACTATAGTCCAATATAAAATAAAAATTTTTTAAAAATAGGTCACTCTTGCTATACTGTTGGTTATCTCCAAGGGATAAGGATAGCATCCATCACCAGCTGTATTTCTTTTACCACCTCCCCCAAAGACTAAGTTCCATGAAAGTAAGGCCATATGAGTTTGTCCCTACTCTTTACTCACTGACCACAGTACCTGACACATAGTTGATACTCAAAAATAATTGTTGGGGCTTCCCTGGTGGCGTAGTGGTTGAGAGTCCGCCTGCCGATGCAGAGGATGCGGGTTCGTGCCCCGGTCTGGGAAGATCCCACATGCCGCGGAGCAGCTAGGCCCGTGAGCCATGGCCGCTGAGCCTGTGCGTCCGGAGCCTGTGCTCCACAACGGGGAGAGGCCACAACAGTGAGAGGCCCACGTACCGCAAAAAAAAAAAAAAAAATTGTTGAATAAATATATGGATGAATTTAAAACATCCTGTTGTCTCCAAGCATGTAAACACCTATTCATTTTTAAGCAATGTCTGTCTAAATTAATTTGAAAGACTTCCATGGCCCGGTCAGAATGGCCATCATCAAAAAATCTACAAACAGTAAATGCTGGAGAGGGTGTGGAGAAAAGGGAACCCTCTTGCATGGTTGGTGGGAATGTAAATTGATACAGCCACTATATAGAACAGTATGGTGGTTCCTTAAAACACTAAAAATAGAACTACCATACGACCCAGCAATCCCACTACTGGGCATATACCCTGAGAAAACCATAATTCCAAGAGAGTCATGTACCACAATGTTCATTGCAGCTCTATTTACAATAGCCAGGACACGGAAGCAACCTAAGTGTCCATCGACAGATGAATGGATAAAGAAGATGTGGCACATATATACAATGGAATATTACTCAGCCATAAAAAGAAATGAAATTGAGTTATTTGTAGTGAGGTGGATGGACCTAGAGTCTGTCATACAGAGTGAAGTAAGTCAGAAAGAGAAAAACAAATACCATATGCTAACACATATATATGGAATCTAAAAAAAAAAAAAAGGGTTCTGAAGAACCTAGGGGCAGGACAGGAATAAGGACACAGATGTAGAGAATGGACTTGAGGACATGGGGAGTGATAAGGGTAAGCTGGGACGAAGTGAGAGAGTGGTGTGGACTTATATACACTAAGAAACTTAAAGTAGACAGCTAGTGGGAAGCAGCTGCATGGCACAGGGAGATCAGCTCCATGCTTTGTGACCCCCTAGGGGGTGGTATAGGGAGGGTGGGAGGGAGACGCAAGAGGGAGGTGATATGGGGATATATGTATATGTATAGCTGATTCACTTTGTTATACAGCAGAAACTAACGCACCATTGTAAAGCAATTATACTCCAATAAAGATGTTAAAAAAAAAAAAAGACCTCCATGGCATGGGTGCTAGTGTTCTCCAGAGAAGCAGAAGCCGTGGGAGACACACATTTATTTTAAGGAACTGGCTCACGTAGTTACGTAGACCCCCAGGCTGGAAGAAGTTGATCTTGCAGTCTCAAATCCAAAATCTACAAGCGGGAAATTCAGGCAGGGTTTCTATGAGGCAGAATTGCTTTCTGCGGGGGGGAAACCTCAGTCTTTGCTCTTAAGGGCTTCAGCTGATTGGATGAGGCCCACCCACATTTTGTTTTTTTTATTTATTTATTTTTGGCTGTGTTGGGTCTTCATTGCTGCACGCTTTCTCTAGTTGCGGGGAGCGGGGGCTACTCTTCGTTGTGGTGTGCGGCTTTCTCATTGCGGTGGCTTCTCTTGTTGCAGAGCACGGGCTCTAGGCGTGCGGGCTTCAGTAGTGGCAGCACGTGGGCTCAGTAGTTGTGGCTCGCAGGCTCCAGTAGTTGTGGCGCACGGGCTTAGTTGCTCCTTGGCATGTGGGATCTTTCCAAACCAGGGCTCGAACCCGTGTCCCCTGCATTGACAGGCGGATTCTTAACCAGTGAACCAGCAGGGAAGTCACCCCCCACATTTTGGATGGTAATATGTTTTACTAAAAGTCTACTGATTTAAATCTGATTTTAATCTCATCTTAAAAATACCTTTGCTGCAATATTTAGACTGGTGATGACCAAACAGCTGGGCAGCATAGCCTGAGTTGACACAGAATTTACCATCATGGCATGCTTGTAAAAAGGACCATTTTATCAATATTAGCTACAGTGTCTAGGGCCTATAAGCCTTTCGGGGAACCTATAAAATGTTTGAGACCTGCAAATAAAATATGCTGATTCCAAAATGCAGAAAGTACAAGTAAGAATTAATAAATATTTAATTCAATGACAAAAAGCATAACATTTTCCCTAACAAATTAAGTGCAACTCAATTCTTCTGAACCTAGCAAGTATATTTAATGGGGGTTGTGGTTGCTGTTTAATATGTTTACTATTATGTGAGCTTATTCATTGCTTAGGGAGCCCTTTTCTCCCATTAATTGCTCTACTGTTTGTCTAGGTCTTTGTGCCATCTGTGGCCTGGAATAAACTATCCATCTGTTTGGAAACATCCTTCCAGAGCCAATTTAAGCATTCCCCCTTCTCCACTTACCCTGCATTTTAAAAATTCCTTATCTCTGCAGATGATTGCTTCCTTATTTGTCCACTACTGTGTGCCAGTGGTATACTGCACCTATAGTTCTTTAATGCAATTATTTGTTGCCATTTCCTTCTCCCTAGTAGATTCAGAGCTACTTGAGGGCAGGAACCGTATTTTATTCATCCTTCTATTCCAAGTGCTTAGCACAGGTCTGTCATAAAATGGTAGCCCAGGGACTTCCCTGGTGGTGCAGTGGTTAAGAATCTGCCTGCCAATGCAGGGGACACGGTTTCGAGCCCTGGTTCGGGACGATCCCACGTGCCGCGGAACAACTAAGCCCATGCTCCACAACTACCGAGCCTGTGCTCTAGAGCCCCCAAGCCACAACTACTGAAGCCTGCACACCTAGACCACGTGCTCCACAACAAGAGAAACCACTGCAATGAGAAGCCTGCACACCACAACGAAGAGTAGCCCCTGCTCGCCGCAACTAGAGAAAGCCTGTGAGCAGCAACAACAAAAAAACCCCAACACAGCCAAAAATAAATAAATAAATAAATTTATTTTAAAAAATAATAAATAAATAAAATGGTAGCCCAATAATGCTCATTTTTATTATTCAATTGTGTTATCTTCAACTACATTCAACCAACCAGCTTTATCCTCCATGCTTTTACATACGTTATCTAATCTTCATAACAGTTCTTTTGAAGACAACACAATTCTGCTGAATAACTGTCATTATTATATAGAATTTTAAGATGAAGGTGTTCAGTCTCAGAGAGGTGACTGATTTGCTCAGAGTGCCCTAGCTAATTGGAGGCTTTCTTTCATGTTTTCTCTTCTGTGCAGAGCTGTCTCCCACTAACAGGGGGTCCTTGCCCTTAAGATGCTTTTGAATCAGGCTATACTTTCCATCCCTTATTTAAGGCTGCTTGCTCTTGCATGTGCCTTCAGCAATGAAAAGTGGCTGGTCTGGGATGGCGTTGTAATGCTCTGGGCTCAGTAGATGGACCTCTACCCACCAAGAAATGGCCTCTTGTTCTTTTTTTGTTTGTTTGTTTGTTTTTGTGGTACGCGGGCCCCTCACTGCTGTGGCCTCTCCTGTTGCGGAGCACAGGCTCCGGATGTGCAGGCTCAGCGGCCACGGCTCACAGGCCCAGCCACTCTGTGGCATGTGGGATCTTCCCGGACCGGGGCACGAACCCGTATCCCCTGCATTGGCAGGCGGACTCTCAACCACTGCGCCACCAGGGAAGCCCTGGCCTTTTGTTCTTGTCTTGCTCGTAGGCAGTATCTCTTGGATTTCTTTTCCACACCCTAGAGAAGAGCTTCTCTTTAAATGTTCCTTTCCACACTTTAGCTTTCTTAAAGCCTTTCAAACTTTAACAGGTACTTACTGAGTACATCGTACGCATCCAGCCCTGTCCTATGTGTAGGGGGGTACAGCAATAAACAAAACAAAGTTCCTCCCTTGCAGAGCTCACATCGTAGCAGGGAGACGGGCAATAAACGAATCAAGAAATAAGTATATAAAGGGTGGTAACTAGGTACTATAAAAAAAAAAGAAGAAACAGCATAAGGAAATAGTATAAAGAGCCTAAGGAGGAAATGGTTGGGAGGGGGAACCAGCCTCCCTTCCTCACAGTTCGTTCCCCCTCCCCAGTCGGGTGAGTTGACTGTCCACAATTGGAAAATGAGATTTTCCATTTACTTAGTGAGAAGAATATGAAAGTCAGATGACTGGAAAGGCAAATACTGCAGTATATAAACAAAACCAGAACTTCTGAAAGCAATGCTTTTCATACATATCCTTACTAGATAATCTAACACCAGATGCGTTTTGGTTTCTATAGTGAGTTCCCTTTATCAGAAAGCCAACTTTTATACTGCTTATCTCCAGTGCTTTTGTTTGCCTTTTGCTCAGCCAGGCCTTCCTAAACCGTATAAAAAGATCAAAGAGAACCTGGTTGAGATTTCCAGGAAAGCATCCGTTAAGGATTCTGGAAAGGACAGTATCTTTTGTTCCAGTTCATGATGGATTGGCTTCAGCTGTTCTTCCTCCATCCTGTATCACTTTATCAAGGGGCTGCTTTTCCTTTTGCGCTTCTCTTTAATTATCTCTGCATTATGGATTCATTTTCCACTCATGCCAGGTAGGTTTGATGGCTAATTTTGCTCTTACGTCTATGAATACTATAATAGATCAAAAAGCCCAGGTTGGAGTGCAGATGTGAATATTAAATACTAATTACACTGGTTGTTTTTAAGTTATCATCACTGCCACTGATTACTGATTGCTTGATCATGATTATGTCCAATAGAGTCAATTGGAACTGGAAATTGACATCATGTCTGCATTGACTCAGCCAAAGTTTGATAGGGTCACATTAAGTAGGAAAAGGATGAAAATAAATGGGGGACAGATGGATGTTGGGGTGATATAGGAATTCCCCAAATAGATGCATCTATAAATCAGCCATATGCCCCAGATGTTCTTGAACAGTCTTAATTTCATGGAATTCTATCATTTTCAATAAAATTAAATTTTATTAAATATACAACAATGGGGCTTCCCTGGTGGCGCGGTGGTTGAGAGTCCGCCTGCCGATGCAGTGGACGCGGGTTCGTGCCCCGGTCCGGGAAGATCCCGCGTGCTGCGGAGCGGCTGGGCCCGTGAGCCATGGCCGCTGAGCCTGCGCGTCCGGAGCCTGTGCTCCGCAACGGGAGAGGCCACAACAGTGAGAGGCCCACATACTGAAAAAAAAAAAAAAAAATACAACTATGTGATTTTTTTTAATGCCTTTGTATGATTTCTCAGAGAAATGAAAAAAGTCAAAATAAATTTTGTTGGATTAGTTTTATCTCTACCGGGGATCCAAAATTATTGTCACTAGAGATTTGATAACTTGATTGAAATGATTTTTTTATACCTAGTAAATTCAATACATTAGAGACAGTCCCTATTTTTAAAAAAAGGTTCTATGGAATATCCTTTTGTAAAGTGAAAATCCATTGCCAAAGTTCTACCTCTTAATAATTCACTTATTTTGGAAACTAGGATTTTTATATATTGGGGATTCATAAGTAATATCTAGCTGTTTCTAACAACCAGGATGGCTGAGTTCGATTAAACTATGGTAGGTTATTACATCTTCAAAACTGGTTGATGGTGCTTTACCTTTGTTTAGGAGATGAGGGAAGCAGTTGTTAAAGAAAAAGTTTCCTATTGAGAAAGAATCACAAACAATAAAGCAAAATAAGTGCAAAAATAAGGGCTAATTCCCATAGGTTAAGATTGCTGGCTTTGGGAGTTAGCCTGGTGAGTCCTGGTCCCTCACTTCCTGAGTGTCCTTGTGTATGTGAATAAACTCTCTGAGTTCATCTGTAAAATGGAAATAATAATGCCTACCTCATGGGATTGTTTTAAGGGTTAAATGAAGATATTTCATATAAAGGAATTATTGGCCCAATGCCCAGAATGAAATAAGCACTCCAAAAAAATCATGCATCCTGCATTGTACATGTGTAGACATAATAATGTTTACAAATCCCCAGGGCAGTTGCTTTGGGAAAGAGCACTGTTTCATGTTTCACCTCTGCTGTGTAAGGAATAAGTGTTCTCCCCTGTTTTCCAATGGTAGGGAGGCGAAGGCTTGGGCGGGTAGAGGAGGAATCATCCCAAGCATAGGCTGAAGCTCAGGAATGGCCAGGGCCTGTGGAATAGAGCCTCGCCCACTGAAGCACCTGCCATCTCCCTCAGGAAAGAAATTCTTGCAAAGGCGTGTGCGTCACAGGCCAAGGAGCCATGATCTACACCCTGTGGCATAGAGATGCGTTCACTTTTCCTGTCCCTGACCACTCAGTCCCTGTTTCAGATTTTTTTCTGGCCTCTTTGTTCAGATTTATTAACTAGGCACCAGTTAAAAGGAAAAAACAAACAAATCTCCATATACTGTGGAAAGAAGAGCCGAGTCCTCATAATATGGAAACTCTGGTGCCTCTGCAGATCCAGAGGGCATCCGCTGGCTTCCAAAGGAGGCATGCTCCACAAACCACTTCACTGATGTATTTACGACATCATTTACAACATGTATTACAACATAACAAAAAGCACCAAGTCATGAGAACTTAAAGTACAGTAGAGAGGATTAAGGGTAGATATAAAGACAAATATCATGGTATCACTTATTATGTAGAATCTAAAAAATGATACAAATGAACTTATTTACAAAACAGAAATAGACAATAGACTCACAGACATAGAAAACAAACTATGGTTACCAAAGGGATAGCTGGGGAGGGGGTAGAGATAAATTTGGAGTTTGGGATTAACATATACACACTACTATATGTAAAACAGACAACAAGAACCTACTGTATAGCACAGGGAACTACACTCAATATCTTATAATAACCTATGATAGAAAAAAATCTGAGAAAGAATATACGTATGTATAACTGAATCACTTTGCTGTACACCTGAAACATTGTAAATCAACTATAGTTCAATAAATTTTAAAAAAACAAAATATTATATTAATGATAGAAGCTTTACTCAAATAAGCAAATACTGTATGATTTTATTTGTATGAATTTGGAGAATAGGCTAAACTATGTATGCAGACGACAAAAATTATTAAACGATACACCTAAAGACTTTGTAATTGAGTTTTCAAACACTTATCAAAGGGAGGCATTGAGGGCCAGGGTGTGCAGCTCTGTGGAAAGGGAAGAGACTCACCTGTATGAGATGTCTAGAGTCCTCCTAGATCCTGGATCCTAGATTCCCATCATTTTGGTCGGGCAGGGCTGGGTGTGGCCCTACTGGGAAATATTCCAGACGGGTCCCCACAGGATTGTTGGGGGCAGGTGTCTCCCTACTGGTCTGGCAGACATCAAAGAGGGGTGCCCAGGGTCCCAGAGGCAGAAATCAAGATTTGTCTCCTGCCGAAGTGGTTTGCAAATGGACTCTGCCTCTACCCTGCATGTTTCCCTCCTTCAGAACAGGAGAAATACTGCAGAGTGACAGCAGTGTGACCTCTGTAGGGGTGAGGGGGTGCCCACCTCCACTGGGTTCCACAGATGGGCTGCCATGGGAAGTGACTCATCTGTCGCACTGCTCCAAGGCATTCTGTGTTCCAGGTACCTGTTCCTCCTGGTGGTAGGAGGAGCCCTGGCAGTAGCCGCCATGGGTTCCTTTGCTGTGCTGGTCTTCATCCCCGCTCTGTGCACCGTGGTCCTGATCCACTCGCTGGGCCCCCAGGACGTCCACAGACTGACTTTCCTCTTTCAGATGAGCTGGCAGACGCTTTGCCACCTGGGTCTGCACTATACGGAGTATTATCTGCAAGAAGCTCCTTCCACGAGGTAAAGCAGCCCGTTCCTGTGTTCCTACAGAGCCCACCAGGGTTTGCTTGCACCGGGGTGCTGGTGGGGAGGACCTGGGAGTTGAGTTTGAATCCAAATTCTTCCACATCCCAGCAGTGTGATCTTGAGTAAGTCAGTCAACCTTTCTCAGCCTCAAGGTCTTTTTCTGAAACAAAGGGTGTGTGTAAGTGTGTGTTGCGGGGATAGCAATACCTATCTTGCAAGCCTCTTAGGTTAGAGTTAATGAATGAATGTAAGTGTCATTGTATGACTAATCTCCTAATAACTAACATGTGCTGTCTGCATGGCACAGTGCCTGGCACTAGCTGTAATTCACATTGTGCCCGAGAAAGGGGGTGAACCAGGAGTCCCAGGGCCCACAGATGAGGCCGGCCTGCAGGTGACTAAGCAGAGTACACACACCTCAGTGTAGGTAGTTTAGACACATAGCCGGCAGCCTCCCCGCTGTTTCAGTAGGACAGGAAAGGTATAAATCTACCATAAACCTTTGCTGCCTTCCCACACACCTGCTCTGCAAGAGTTTTACTTTCACTGACACTCAGCTCTTCTATCCCCCAGAAAAAGGGAAGTCACTCGATCCAGGAAGAAAAAAAATAGGGCGCTAATTACAGTCTAGGGACGTGTTTTCCTGAGCCGGTGAGATCACCAGGATTAGAGGGAAACAGGCGTCTCTGCCATCCTGAAGCCTGTTGTTCCTGGCTCTCGCCGTGATCACCATTGGACTGGCTTCATGGTCGCTCAGTGAACTGGAGCAGTGACCTGTCGAGGGGGTCACCTCTCTGATTCTAGCCGCCATGAGTTGCTTTACTCTGCCATCCCGCCCACACCCAGAATCTTATTCTTTATTCTGACTGTTTTCACCAAAGGCTCCAGGGCTTGCTTCTCTGAAGGAGAGGCAGGATGGTGGGTGGATAGGGCGTGGGGAGTACTGACCGCGATGTGGTGACAGGATTTCAGGAAGAAGGCTGGACCTGACAGGGTCTGGAGGAGCCAGTTGAACAGAACCCGGCTGCACGGGACGGAGGCTGAACCTGAGCTGAAGCGGGAAGATGTGTTAGTTCGCTCTTGCTCTCATACAAAGTACCGCGGACAGGGTGGCAAACATTTACTTCCTCTGGAGGCCGGAAGTCCAAGGTCAAAGTGTTGGCAGGTTCAGCTTCTCCTGAGGCCTCTCTCCTTGGCTTGTAGATACCGTCTTCTCCCTCTGCTTTCACATGGTCTTCCCTCTGTGTGTGTCTGTGTCCCTATCTCTTATATGGAAACCAGTCATCTTGGGTTAGGGCCCACCCTCATGACCTCGTTTTACCTTAATTACCTCTTAAAGACCCATCCCCAAATATACACATTCTGAGGTACTGGAGGTTAGGACCCCGACATATGAATTTGGGGTGGGGGAGGACACATTCAGCCCTTAACAGAAGAGGACTGAACAGGGGTTAGTGGCATTTGGTGGCTACTTTGCTTACTGTTTGATAGGTCAAGTAAGGAGGTCAGCTGTCCTTAAGTTCTCAGACACAGAAGCAGCAACGGTTGGGAAACAGAACCATTTTCTCCCCACAGGACAGTGTTCCTGATTGTAGACTGTGTCACTGTAATTTTCATTAATTTTCTCCATGGTCAGCAGGATCTTCTCTACTGTGTGACGGTGACGCAGGAACAGGTCAGGTGACGGGTTAAGAGCACAGCTCAAATTGCTAATGACTCAGCATATACACCCTGAAT